CGTGTGAAGCGGCTGCCCCGCCGTGCCGCGGGCGGAGGATGCCCGCACTGGGTGCTTGTTTACTGCTACCGTTTGTAAGCTAGGCTCCCCTAAAGAAAGGAGGTGCGTGCGTTTGCGCTCCCCGTGCTTTAGTTTCTCCCGTTGCCGGTAAAGGCGTTGCCTGATGAGCAGAGATCTTGCCCGCTCTCGCAAACAGCATGAAGTTCCCCGGCGGAGGGGAAGCACTGAGGGGATGTGCTCCGTACTAAAGGAAGGGGAAACATTAGCAATAGGGCGGTTGCGTAGAAGTATTTTTCAGAGTGTGGTGAAACATGCAGCCCTAGAAAATGGCCTCTGCTGAAGTTGGAGTGCGCATGTAAATAACTTGCTTCGAAGTCACACGTGAATCTCTTGACAGAGAGGAGGAGGCCTTTCCTAATGTTCTCCTATCTCGATAAGATCTTTTAGTTCTCACGCCCTTCAACATTGTGAACGTGGCAGGTTCTTTTATTTTCTTTAATTTTACCTAACGTGACAACAATGCAGTCACTTCTGAGGTGAAAAAATAGTAGACTGTAAAACACTTTCAGCCTTCTGAAAAGTGCCGTAGGATCTTGATTTGCATGCAGTGGGCAGTTCATCTCTTTCATATCTCAAAAAAAAGTCAGATGTAAACAATTTAAGCTATGTATCCCATCATGTACTGTGTTAGAGTACTGAAGAGCTGAGCTCAAGAAGTTTTCACTTAATTGTTCAAGCACTCAAAAATTTAACTGGTTTAGTAGCTTAAGTTATTTAGTTTAATCATACCTGTACTTAAATATAGATCAGGGCACTGCATCTGTGAGAAGTAGTTATAAATGGTATTTACAAGTATAACTGTTCAGAGTAACGTGACAAAAGCCTGAAATCACTACTGTAAACAGTAATACACAAATTATGCAAGCACATAGTTTGCCTGTGTGGTTGTAAGCATCTGAAACTTGAGAAAACTCAATGCTAAATCTGAAACTTGAAAGTCAAATTTTAGTTCTGTCATAAATTATTAGAATACAGTAGGATTTTCCTAGAACATATTGTGAACATTAGTAGTGTGCATGTATTCAAAGCATAATGTAACAATGTGAATATTAAAATTTATAAGCAGGTTATGTGTAGATAGCCGATACATAAATACCATGCGTGCAACTTTTTAACATGGAGTTGTTTAATACTGAAAAGTGTATGTTCATGTATGTCTTTGGAAGATTTTAATTTCACTTGGTTTTTCTTTAATAGAGTGACAAAACTGGGGCAAACAACTGAAAATGTCATCCTATTTGGCTCAGGAGGTTCACCTTGCTAGAAGACATGAAGAGATGTAAGTAATTGTTTCAGCGCTGTGGCCTGCCTCACAGCAGTTTGTGTTGTGGTCTTCCGAGACCTCCCTCACTGCACATGGCCATCCGGTGAACAGTGAATCTGAGCTCTGTACAGAGCACAGTGGTATTTCAACAAAGGGTTGGTGTTCCAGGAGGTGGCACTCTTCCTTCATGAACTATTGGAATTGGCATCCTTGATCGCCCTTAAGGGTATTTAGATTGATGAGGTTTTTGACTTCCAATGGTGGTACTGGTTTAAGATCTCCATTGTTAACCTCCTGTCACCATTAAATTCCTATTTGGGGAAGGTAATTGGATTCTCTCACTCTACGCCTCAATTATAGAATTGCTTCTTTGTTGCCCTGAAAACTTAGATTGTGAAGCAAATACAGTAATGATTCAGAAAAATCTGCTTTCCTTATAACAACTAGTACTTGCCAATGAGCAAGAGTAGTACTGATCAAGTCACCCCAACGCACCCTGTCTTCCCTGTTCTGGGAGATTCAGTGCTTCTAAGCACCTTAGCATATGAGGACTGCTGGTTGCAACATTATAGCTTCATACAAGCACAGCAGGTGGTGTCTGCCTGTACCTTTTCCCTCCCCCAGCACACCCACCCTACAGCCGGCTTAATTAGCCCCATAGTTTTGAGAAAACTGGGTAAGGTAAAAAGGTTATTTTCTAGCTCCTGAGCAAAATGTTCTACCCACTTAGCAAAATGTTTTCCTTTGTAGACTGTCTCAGAGATCAGAGCTGCTACAGCAGATGGAGACTTATCTAGGAGACAAAAAGACTAAAAAGACATGGCAAACTCAAGCAGCTGATGCAGCTCATAAAAGGAATGCAGCACTTTTAAATGTAAGTTTCTGCAACTACCGGGAACCGCATTGAAATGTCATGGTTATGTAGCTTAGAGAATTAAAAAAAAAAAAAGTGTTTGCTCTGTAGTTATTTGAATTCTCCTATATACAGTTCCCTCTTCTGGAACTTGACCAAAAGTATTAAATTACAAGTCTTTATTATCTGATGGCATCACTACCTATTTCCCATGCCCTTATATGAGCCTCATGGTGGCAGCTGCTACTATCTTTTTTTTTTTTTTAAGTACATGTAGAGATGCAACACATGCTATTACATGTCTGCCTAAGAGAACTTCGTCTGACAAGACTCACAGCACCTTTACACTGTGATTCAAGGTCCAGGGGTGTGTTTGGAAATAGGGGCTGACCAGCCTATAATGCTTTTAGTCCAGGGTAAGAACTGTTCTCCCACTATGGCTGTGTGAAGTTGTGGAAGACGTTCTCAGTTCAATGTTTTTCTTTAAAGAGGTGTAGGATGTCTTCAAGAATCTTACTTGCAAGTCTGTAAAAACAGTATTTGGTGTTTCTGGCTCTTCTTAGTGGTGATACTGTTAATGATGTTAATAGCTGTTCTACATACCTGTTGTCATATTTAGGTAAGATTTGCATTTCTTAGGTAAATTGAGCAGAAGTATGAGAACGGGCAATTAAAAAAATCCAGGTTTCATGGCAGGGACTGGAATGCTAAAACCTCTTCTGGAGCCCCTAGCTTAGGCATCTGAGTTTGAAGAGATTGCACTTGACCACTGACATGAGCGTGCATTTGAAAAATGTTTGTCTGTTGTTCAGGAAACAGCAGAAAACCATACCTCTCGTGCATTTTCTTTAAACCCTTACTTACTAAGGGTCCATATTGCATGTATTGTGTTTACTGAAACAATGTTTTACTCTAGAAAATTAGAAGATTAATTTGTGTCACCAAAAATTTTTTGTTTCTTCGTGCAGAGTCTGGTCAAGATTTAAAATGTTCACATTTCGGGTGGGTATAATTCTATTGCAGGCCCTCTTTGTATTTAAATGGAAGCTATAGTTAAGGAGTGGCAGACAAGGCAGAACAGTTAATCAGGGATGCCTTCTTAACTATTCTGTGACAAGGAAGATTTTTCAGCTTGGATTCTGGTAAACTGGTGCATTCTGGGCTGGGGCAATCAAATGCCTCTGTAGTGGGTACAGACAAGTGTAGGTGCTTCAGAGGGAGGCTGGGGAGAGGTGGGCGGTTTGTTTATTTTTTCCGTAGTTCATGCTCCCTTGATTTAATAATTTCAGCCATTATGACTCCCATTTTCCATATGCATTTTATAATTTTATAATTTTAAAATAAATTTTAATTTATTTCATGAATAGTTTATACAGTTTATACAGTATTTGTGTTTTATTAATGCATTCTCATTTAACGTATACAGGCGAACATAATAAATGCAGGGTATATTTCTGCATGCTGAAAGCTGCTTGTATTGGAAATGTTAACAATAGCTCAGACATATACAGAGTGTAAATATTTTTGCAGTTAAACAGATATTTGCCATCTTCTGTCACATCCTCAAAATTGTTCCTTTCAAGTGTCAAAAATGTTGGTGTTTGTACGGAAAAAAAGCAAAAACATATGTATCAAAACAAATTCTGTTGCAGGATAAAGTAGCATAAATCAGTTTAAATCTATTAATTTTATACTAGTTTTAACAGGCATGCACTCCTGCAGATGCTTTCTGATAACAGAAGAAAACAGGAAAAAAAAAAATTCTATGTAGAATAATATATGAGAAGCTTGAAAACAAGACTGATTAATGTGCCAGCTTCAGAATATTGTTCCTGATACCAGGCACTGTACATTTCACAGTTACCATGTGGAGAGTTGTTGATTTGGCCTACTCAAAAATACATGGACATGATGAAGTGTTATTTTTTTATTTGCATTTCTGTTTTTCTGCATGTAAGCAAAATCAGTTGTTTTCAGTATGTGATCATAGCAAAAGACATTTTTCTTTCTCTGTGCTAGTTGATATTTATGCACAGGAAAGCATTTCAAAATTAATTTATTTACTAATCGTAGGAAGCAAGGAACTAAACATTTTTTTATTGAAATTTTAGCATTATAAGCACTTGTTCAGCATTTTAACATAATTATCACTGATGTCTTTAGAGGGAGACTGCAGATTAGGGAAATCTGTATCGTTTGGTACTTACATGATGTTGTAATAAAGGCAGAAATTAGACTAGTATTTATAATCTAATTTATGACATTTGTTTGTCAGTAATATTTCTTGTGTTTAGCAATATGTATTACTGTGCAACAGCTTATAACATGAAATAGAAAATAAAGAAAATGCTATATAGTAGTTAGTATTGGGAAGGTAATTTAGACCAAATTTGCTTTCCTTCACAGGCATGTAATTCTAGAATTATTTAAGTGGGATTCTGCCAGACTGATATCAATATAAGTGACAGCTGAATTTGGTCCCCTAAAAGTGATGCATGTGTCATGCATTCCATTTTACCTCTGGGGAAGGGTCTTGAATTGTTTTTGTTCCAGTCCTTGTGGTTTTAGGGGAAGCGTTGTAAGATGCTCTCTTTTTTCAGTACTGTGACATATTAGATTTGCTGGTTTTTCCAAAGAAGTTTACACTGCTGACGTATTTATTTTTATATTGATGGC